GATTGCTCTGGACTGTAGACCATGATCAGTGGTAGAAGATAAGGGGTTAGAAAATGTGCTACAGTTAGCGTCAGGTGATCTAACTTTCCAGCTACTTTTACTTGAAGACTATTTCAAGTAAAATTCAACAGCTTCATGACACTGAAAATCAAAATTAGATGCATTACAGACAGCCCTGCTCATGTGGAGGAACTACACCAGGAGCAAACAAGACTGGGGCAACAGAGAGAGCCACTCATACAGGATGTTTTCACACAGTGGAATTCAACATTGGATATGGTTTATTGCCTACTAAAAAATCAAGAGGCTTTTTTTGCTGCTTTGGACAAGCAAAAACACAAGCTAGTGATTTTAACTCCATCAGAGCCGGTAAACCTCCAAAAGCTGGCGACTGTCCTTGAGCCATGCAGGTAAATAAAACTATTTTTTAACTTATTGTTACTGTTTCTTCAAAAAGATCCATAGTTAACAGTCATTGTGTAGATTAATAATTACTTTCTTGAGCTGTCTACTACAGATTTGTGACTGAGCTTCTTGGAGGTGAGACATATGTCTCATGTTCATTGGTTTTACCTGCTTTCTGCCACCTGCATCACACCATGGAGGTCTCCAATTATGACTCAAACTACATGGTGAAATTTAAGACTGCCTTCACAAAGGACCTATCCCAACGTGTAGCTACACTCAACCATCAGTGGCTCAAGATAGCTACTGTGCTTGACCCACGCAGGATTTCATGTGTGTTGCGAGGGGAGAGCGAGAAGAGGTTTGAACCAGCCTTGAGACCCTGCTGCAGGAATAGTGTAAAGATGCCACCACAAAGGAGCCAGCAAAGACAAAGTGCCTCCTCCTCTCTTCATTGTCTTCAGACTCTGATTCAGATGAAGAAGCCCTGAGTAACAGGGCCCTGAGTCTGTACAGAGCAGAATCCACCATCAGCGACAGAAAGACTGCCTGCTGCAGTGGTGGTCCAGTCGAGCAGGGACCCACCCACAGCTGTCTGTCCTGGCCTACAAGTATCCTGCCACTTCTGTCCTATGTGAGAGACTGTTCTCACTTGCAGGTCACATGTTTCTACCTTATTTTTTTAAGAAGTTGAAATTCCAAAGTAAGACAATACCACTTTGAAAATGTACGTAAAGCACTTAAAATAGCACTTTCTTTTTAAGTCTGCCCAATTTTGGCCAGGGATATTATTTTTTGTTTCTCTGTTTTGAATTCAAATGCAGTTTAAACCCTATTTCTTCTTTTCAGAAATTAAAAGAGAGAGAGTTTACAATATTAATGTCCATGTCTTTATTTGATTCTATTGCCTAATAAAACCCCTTTAAATGAAAAAACATTTTCTTGTGCGATTAAATGCAATTAATCAAGATTAATTACAAAGCCTCTAATCAATTAATTACACAATGAATGGAAAAGTAGGATCATGACCAGGTTCTGTTTCCTTTTTATTTCCGGAAAAATGAAGCAGACATCATATCTAAAGTCGTAAAAAGGCTCTAAATTTGTATTTTATAGCTTTTTGATGTAA